AGTAACGTAACGGAATATGTTACAGAATACATTTTGGGGCATGTATTCTGTATTCTGTAATGGAATACATTTTAAAAGTAACCTTCCCAACACTGGTTATAGCTTAGCTAGCCTAAAAATAGCCTAGTTAACTTTAAACTTCATCACATTTAAAGACGGTACCAAAAACCAAGAGAAACGCTCAAGCAAAGTGTATTTTATTCCATAAACTTTATACTATACATGAAAAAAGTGTGCTTATGTGTTTAAGCTCTCTTGAAGACATGTTCATCTAAAGGCCCAGACACAGGAGAATAAAACAAAGAGGACAGAAATTTCCTTTGTAGTTTTTAGATGATTCCAATTAATTTCTTCACATTTAGCAATCTAAAAGTACTACAGCAACCACTTTCAGTCGCAGTGTGGTTGCATCCCCTGGTAAAAGGTAGACTGTCTCCAAACAGTCGTGGTTGGATTGGGCCTGATTGTAGTCACCTTTAGACTAATGAAGGTTTGCTAGTAATTGCTGATTTATAACAGACTGCAAACACTCTGCAATCAATATATGTAATATGGGGACTCCACTCAACTGGTCGTATTCTAGTTATATTCTTACATGAAAGCAAAGCTGCTTGAGTTCCTGTCTGATTCTGCTGTTACAATGATGTCCTGGAGCAATGACATCACTAATTTCTGTTTCAAATCTTTGAGATTCTGGCTGGACTCTGAATGTAAGTAGTCAATGCGTATGCAAATGGCAACAAAATTGCAACAGACAGCAAGAGATTTGTCACTGTTATCACAAACAAACTGAATGGAATTGCAAACTTGACTCCTTCAATCAGGAATCTCTTATTACCACTTTATTGCCATTTTGATGCACCACAGCCGCTTTAAACATGGCAACTGACTCTAGGTGGTCACAGACCCCATTTTTGAAGCAACCATTTCAAAGGAAACATGACTGCAAGTTCATTGCACAGTCACAATAAAGGTTGTTTGTGCTGTGGTCTCCACCTGCTGTTTTCTGTCGAGCCCCTGTAGCAAGACCGGCATCAGCACATCACCTGGTCTGGTTTATTTAAAGGCCAAATAGCACATCATTATTTATTTCCCTATTGTTAAGAAGTGGGGTGGCTGTAGCTCAGATGGTAGAGCAGGCCAGCTACTAACTGGAAGGTTGGTGGTTCGATCAAAAACATCCTTGGGCAAGATACTAACCCCATGTTGCTCTCCGATCCAGTGTGAATGTGTATGAATGTTAGATAGGGAGCACTTAACAGCTTAGAAAAAATGCTCGTGTTAATGGGTGAATGAATTAGTTGTATAAAGTGCTTTGAGTGATCAGATAGAGCAGAAAAGCGTTATATACGAACCAGTCCATTTACCAGAAGTATTCCCTGAACGCTGAAACTTTCAGCAGCTGTCTGCTCTCAGATTTAGGGCTTAGGTTTACGTATCTGCAACTTCAGCTACTTTTAGCTACATTCCAAACACTACAGCCCCTCTTCATCTCTCACTCCTTTTCTATTGCAAGTTGAAAGCAGAAAGCTTTCTCTTAGATAAGTGCTTAGGCTAAGCATGCAAATATATTTCAACAGCTGTGTCTTTCATTTAATGTGCTCTCTTCAATCAGCTGGTGACCAGTGGGCTGAAAACATCAACAATGAGTCTGTAGACTGGCTTTTTAACCAAATCATGGAGCAAGCATGTGCTTAACTAGTTAACTCCAGTGGATAATTTCTATTCTAGCCAGAGCAAAATTAGTGGTTGCTCATTTGGGTCAGAGTAAAACAGAATGGCTTAGATCAGTAAACAGATGACCCAGCTAGGTTAGGGGTGTGTTAAGCAGCCTACAAATGGCCAGTTTCCAGTTTCGTTGGTGTTTCGGGCAGGGGTGAAAGAGGGGACTGTGTTTTAGGGAATAGTGTGTTGATTATTATTAAGATTCACAACAAGAACAAAAGATCCAGAAATGGCAGAAAGCATTACAGAGAAGCTGGTGAGGCTGTGTGGTAGTCTGTGTGGGAGTTCATTATGAAGCTGCGTGGAGCTGAGGTGGAGGAGTAGTGTGTGCTGTTAGGTGGGTGGCTGGTGAGTGACGCATCCAAATAATTGGTTTGAGGTAAAAAAATGACCCAAAAAAAGAGAGAAGAGTAGAGAAGGCAGGGTGTCATATTAAAGAATCTAAATATTAATCTGTTAAGAGTAAAATCATCTTTTTGCAGATTATTTTCTTTGGAGTTAATGACATTAATTTACTTTAAAAGGAGTTTAAGCATCTTTTTTGACTTTAACTGAGCTCTACGATGCCAAAGAAGATATTGTTATCTTAAATGTGGATTTTTGCCATTCTCAAGACTTTTTTTCCCACCCACACCTGTTTTTATCTTCCCTTCCTACATTTTTATAGCTATGAAAATATTTCACATTAATTATATATTGAAGCTTTTGAAAGTCGGAAAGCCTTTTTTTGCAGCAGGATGTCAGAAAATGTCTTGAAATTTAAAAGACTTTGTAATAACAGGTGAAACAGACTGCTAATTGAGAAAATGTGAAGAGAAAAGGTGAACAGATTGATTAGACAGAATAAGACAGGAAAGAAGAAAACACATCCAGGACCCCGGTGCTGAGCTCTAACATCATCTGGGCAATTAAATGCTTCCGCACCAGTTAACGCTCTGTGGGCAAGTCCTGTCCAAACACAGCTGTCTCATACGTCTGCCTGCAAGTTCTCCTAGAAATCAATGTGAAGCGCAAAGTCTGTGGACATGGCAAACAAGACAGCACAGAGAGAGAGTGAGAGAGAAATCTCTTTCATCGTTTTTTCACGAGAGTTATATATTTTAAGAGAAACGCATTTTCTCCCCTTTTGACTCGTGAAATTTTGGAACACTTAATTAGATGAAAGTAATAATATTTCTATATTCTATCAGTCTGCTTTTAAAATACCACTACACTCGAATTAATTGATGTTATTTAAATCTGCTGTCCTTTAGATTTGAAGGTAGACATCAACTACAAAACCCAGCACGGGAGAAAGCAGGCAGCATTGAGAACAGCATGAAAGGAGTAGTTGGAGCAGAAGTGGGTTGCAAAGCAGTTTGCAGATGGGCAGAAAGCACAAGCATGCTAAAGCTGCTTAAATAGTTTTTCACATACAGCTCCAGGGGACTAATTACAAATGAGGTACTTAACTTACCACAAAGGACACTTTTCCATTGGACTTTTGTAATACTGGGCATTTTAACATTGTCATAAAGTACTTATATCCAAGTAGAATACAAAAATATTTCATTTACAGGTGGACAGAAGAACTGAATTGACTTTTTAAAGACTACATGAATGTAATTATCACTTCCCTGTCTCTTTCTTTTATTTTTGTACCTTTTTGTTTCGCTTCCTTTACACTTTCCTCTGTCTCTGTCTACTTATGTGTGACTTTTATCTTTCAGTCTCGTCAGACGCCTGAGGGCGAGTTCCTGCCTCTGGACCAGTGCGAATTGGATGTGGGCTTTGGAACGGGTGCAGACCAGCTCTTTCTGGTATCCCCTCTCACCATTTGTCATGAAATTAATCCCAAGAGCCCCTTTTTCGACCTATCCCAGCGCTCTCTCATGAGTGAACAGTTTGAAATTGTCGTTATCCTCGAGGGCATCGTTGAAACTACCGGTGAGCAATCTTACATATCATTTCTTTAAACTGTGTCCTCCCCCATTCCCATTGTTTGTTTTCTCTCCCCGCTTTACTCACTCCCAATCTAAATGTAAAGTCCGACATTAATAACAAGCCACGTAACGCTCCTATCAAATAGATGCTCATAATCTGGAATCTAATTTCCCCATCTTCCCAGTTTTGCATATTTGAACAGCACGAGAACTGGAGAAACCAAGGATGACATCAACACATGAGGATGACGCACTGATTGAATTTCGAGGGATATTTTATTTCTGCAGAATTAGTTTACGTCTACTCTATGCATAATAAAACCCCGTGGTCATAGATGCGTGTGTCACTTTGATGAATGAGGTTTTAGTTGAAGTTCCACTCTATTTTTCACATGACAGCTGAGGGCAGAAGTAATTCAGAGGGTGTGAGACACTGGTATAAAGCCGCTGCTGTACGCTACAGGCAGCCATGCTGGAGTACCCTCAGCAACAACACAGATCTCTCTGTTGCATATTTAACACAATGATTCATCCCACAAGTCCAATACAAATAAATCCATCCTCCTCTTTTCTTTTCAGCCGTGCTTCTAGGCATTCCCTCATAACCCTGCCTGTGTCACTGTTGTAGGAGAAACCATGGAGCTGAATAGGCTTAGAGCAGAAGGGAAGGATCAGCGGGAAGCGAGAAGCCAGGCAGGCAACACGGCTGTGCTCTGTTGATAACACCATTAAATCAGGGTGCAGCTAGAAGTGTAGTGTCGCAGTGCACAGCACTCGCAGCTGAGGAGTAGAAGAGGAAAGCCCTGGAAGTGTCACCTACAATTGTCCACAATATGCTGCCAACTGTATGGAAAAGGAATGCTTAAAAATAATAACAATAATAAAAAATAAGCATATTTTTAAAATGTCATTTCTGTATGTGCATCTTCACACTAACCCACATCCCATTACCCCAAACACATTAACAGCTTCCCGGTACATCCAGCTGCTGCTGACACAGCTGTTCAGCTTGTTGATCGTCTCTCCTACTCATTCACTTTGTTTCAACCAGACTTGACAGATTACCGTGCAGTGGCTCTAATTCTTGTCAGTTTTAGTTTGTGTCTTCAAGGCATTTTTTTTTTCTGTTTTCAACAATGTGACAAAACTACTTAATTTCATTGCTGATAAAAAAAATTCTGACAGCTAAAATCAATTCCAAGCTCTCGTTTAGGTCTGATTTTAAAGAACGAGTTATAGTTAGTTTCTTCTGTGTGGCAATAGAACAGGATCACATGGGTTGTCGCTTGAACCCAGCATCACACAGGATCCATGCTGGTGCTGACTTCTGGCAACCTAATGAGATGAAAACTAAGAATGGCAGAATTTGTTAGCTCTATATAAAAAAGAACGTATAAAACTAAAGGGCAGTCAACATGGCATAAGATTTTTTTTTTTTTGTCCTTTTAATGGTATATTGACTCCATCTTTAGGCTGCCCCTTGACAATATGCAGATGACGTGCAACTATGTAAACTCGCTGACCCTAACATAACACTCAGCGAATGATGTTGGTGTAATCTCTAACCTCTGCCAGTGTCAGGAATTTTACATAAAGTCTTGATGTGCCGAGGGCTTTTATTTTTATGCAAAAAGCAGTAGACATTAACCAGAATACCTAAAGTATGCTTAAATGATGAACCTTAACTAGCATGCCTGTCAAACTCGACCCAAAAGCTTCCATTGCATTGATATTACTGTCGTCTTGTGCAACTATAATCAACAGAAGTTCAGTTATTTACTGGTAAGAGAGGAGAAAATGCTGGAAAATTATCCTAAACTTGCAACTGCAATTAAAGCTGAGCCTTAAAGCAATTAGAAAAAAAAATACAGAAATGGTGAAAAGTTTCTGTGGATGAAGATGAGTCGTGTGCCTGGAATAGCATCAGGTTATGACATAACACAGAACATATCATCCCTCAGAGGGACTGGATCAGACTCCTACTCTTTAGCCTGTAGTGTTTCATAGAAGAGCTCAGGTTGTAGCAAAGCCATTGGATCAGAAAAAAAAAACTCAAACTAAGTGATTATTGATCGCGAATGACCTCCAACAAACATCCAAATGTCAAGAAAATTACTTTACAAGCTTCAGGTCAAATGGAAAACGTGTACGCAAAGTAGACACACGGGCACCCCCATTACTAGAAATCTTTGCTTAATACATCATCTATAATTTAGGCCCTCCACCAGAGCATGATGAAAACTGATCCCAGTTTGCCAACAGATGATTTTCCTCTAGCTGGCCGAAGACTGAAGCTGCAATCAACACAAAGAGTTAAATAAAGACAAGTAAAGAAAGAACACATGCCATGTTGTTTTGATGTAAGAGCATCACGATGATCAGATTTAAATGAGCAATTATCACAACCAGCTTTGCCTAAAACCATCTGCCAACTTTAGTCACCATTAATGGAAGAAAATGTGAAAATAATTTACCAGATCAAGGAAAGATAAACTTACAAAGCTTATGAAATCCAGGAAAGAAATATATGCATATATATATATATAATGATCTCACATATTCCATTACAGTACATCAGTATTGGAACGTGGCATGCTTTGAAAATAAAACATTAGGGTGTAAAAGCCTCTTGTTACTTTTATGAACTGGGAAATGCAATAGCCCTTTCATGTAGGTTTATTTTAAATCTTCTAGTACGTGACTAAACTGAACTGGATAATCACACAGAGCAAAGCATAAAGCTGTCATCACAAGAAATAAACGAGAGAGAAAAGAGATAGCATGCAGTGATGCCGATCCTACAGATTCCTCGTTATCAGCCTCTAATTGTTTTGCTGAAACCCCATTTAATAGCAGTTATTAAAATTATTTCTGCCATCACTTTCTTCTAGGTATGACATGCCAGGCAAGAACGTCATACACTGAGGATGAGGTTTTATGGGGCCATCGTTTCCTGCCAGTAATGTCCCTGGAAGAGGGTTTTTTCAGGGTCGACTACTCTCAGTTCCACAGCACGTTCGAGGTGCCGACACCACCGTACAGTGTCAAGGAGCATGAAGAGAAGAATTCTCTCCCCTCGCCTCTGTCCACTCCTACCCCCGCACTGACTGAGAGCCACGGTGCCCGACGTGACCGTGTGTTTTCTGTGGATTGTATTAACACTACTGAGGAGAGGGGCCATCATGTAGGGACTGGGGTTCGACTTCCAAGCAAATTGCAGAGGATGAGTTCGTCGGGGAAGGAGGACCTTCAGAGGAAAGTGCTTATGCTTAGCTCCCAGCACTCAGAGAAGGCCTGCAGCACCGGAGACCTCCCCCTAAAGCTGCAACGTCTCAGTTCCTCACCTGGTCCCGAGGCAGCAAATCGTCTAGGGCTAAAGTCTCTCAAGGTGGGCTTTGAACCCATGACCCAGTCAACTGGAGACCTGTACCAGCACAGCCTGCCATCCACGCTGTCTCCTGCTCCGGTTCCCATGCACAGCCCACTTCTTTCAGCCGGTGGGAGGTTGGAGGATAACTTGCCACCAAAGCTAAGGAAGATGAATGCCGACCGCTGAAATCCAGACAGTCCTGGACTATAACAACATACAGACAGTGACCTCTGACCACAAACACATGAAAACAAGAGTCAAAGATGTACTTTACCCTTGGAGGCTTTGATTAAAACAAAAAAAAAAACACCAAGAGGTTTATTCATTTTTATTTCTTGAGACTAAATCTTTACTGGAATTACTGTGATTTTGTGCTTAGCAGAAGCTATGCTATTATTAATTTACGCTTTGGTACACACAACCAGAAAACACAAACCTTGAGCTTAAAGCAAACTTGATTATTCTGCAAGAGTTGTGCATGTATACACTAAATCCATTGTTTAATGTATGCACCACTACACTTAACTGTCAATCTTAGTTTTATCTAAATATAAATTATATTACGATGATAATAAATGCTGTTTGATCTTTCTCTTTATTGCGTTTTTATTACCGTCCCCCCAGAATTTATTATGTTTACATTAAATTTTTTAGTGCTGCAATTCTGCCAAATATCAATAAGTAATCCAGCAGTGCGGTGCAATTGGAGCTTTAATAGGCTGTTGTTAATGCCCCTAATTTTACCACATTGGCAAGCGACACTATGCAGGAACAATCCCATAACTCCGTGGTGCAGTAAGTGGATATTAGAGAGAGGGAGATGATAATGAGATACACTGCTGTTAAGATGGAAAATATAAATATGTGTTTATTGGAGAATGGAAGCTGATTATAGATGACTTGTTATTGCAGACTGATGAGGAATGTGGTCAGCTGAGGCCTCCTGTTTAACAAGCATATCCAAACGCAGTGTACCGTCTTCACGCCAGTATATGTCAGAACACACGACTACACCAATTTGGTTAGTGGGGCTCATTGTTTTTTATCAACTTATGCCAACACAATAGATTTATTGAACTGTCGTTCTGCATGTGGTCAGCATTTGTACCAAAAGCAGGTGAAATAGTAGATTGAAAGTGTAGGACAACCTTGAACACATAGGGCTTAATGAAATCCAAGTACAAACACACAACACAGCATGGATGCAATTAAAGAACAAAAACAAAATCATCATCTTTAAATTCAGAGTCAGCATATTCAGTGACCAAAGCCTCAATTTTCCTATTGCGAGGAAGGAAGGGAGGGAAAATGATTTTTGACTGGCTTTAACAGCACGCACGGGGTCCCCCATCAATCTGCAGCTTCGACCACCCACTCACTTTATACAGAGCCTACATATGCTTCACACGCTCTATTCCTGTAATATAGCTGCACTGAGAGCTTTGAGTGCGCTTGTATGTTTGCTAACTACGCATGTGCTTTGCCACTCTTCTCATGCTGTGTATGATTTGCCAGAAGTGGATAATAATAGCTTTACTGAAAGAGTGTGATAAGTCAGGAGAAAGAAGAAAGTTCTGATGAGAGTGAGACAGTTTTATGTAGCTAGCTGTGGTTCATTTTTTACATTTTATTTCACAATCTATTGATTGAATGATCAATAAAGTTGAAGTATTATGGTTTTTTATGTAATAGGCTAATAAATATTAATAACCTCATGTCGTATTCATGCATTCTTTAGCAATCATTTTTCCACCAACAGCTGAGAGCCACCCACAGTGCAATTATTACTGAAATTTGGAAAGGGGTAATTGAAAGACCATTTATAGTTTTATGTGCGAGTTTGAGAAAAATAGTCAAACTCAAATGAACTAATCCAGTTTCTGTCTTTTAAGGGATTATGAATACCATACCAAGTGCGACTAGAACAGAAATGTTCGAAAGTGACAGACTGCTTTTATTACGCAGCGTTATGTGCTGGTTTACTACTTCTTTGTGCTCCATAACTTAATTCAGGGGAATTCAATTATATTTATATAGAAACAAATCTGAAAACCAACAAATTCAGCACAGAGCCAAGGCCAAAACCAAAAGTGACACTCTATTTACTAATAAATAGAGTGTCATAAGCTGCTAACTGGAAGAATAAACAAGTTCATTTGCCAAAATGCTTCATCAAAGTTTAATCAGATGCTTATGGTTTCAAACCTGCCAGTTAACGACCATAGATTTATGGTATGCAACAGATCTACCATCAATAGTGGAAAAAGTGATCAATTCTGACATCTTGTTTGGATGGCGGTTTATTTATTTTGTTAGCCCAAATCAAACAGCAGAGAATAACATCTGAGTCCAACAAACTGAAGCTTACCTGAATTATGCCGATTGAACAGCTGATTTGTGTATTGTGGCCTGACAACTGTTACAGCATGTCACTAAGCAGAAAATTAGATTTATTTTAGTTTTCTGTGTCACAACACGATGAGGAGGAGGAGTGAAAAAATCAAAATGACCGTGTTTTAAATAAGCAGTCCAAATTCCCCAGCACTGCTAAAGTCACAAGTTTGGTTCACGTCTTGAATCCTGATTCGTCAGTATACTGGAAATTAACATTTATACCGGGGATGATGAAAAGCTCCTACAAAAGCAGTAAGAAATATAAGAAAAATATAAAACCAAAATGAAGTCAACAAATAAAACAAAAGAATGTTCCACAGGATAAAAAGAGAAGGGAATGAGATTCACAAGAAATTATTTATGTCACAAAAATATAGTTAAATATATATAACCTTCTTAACACACGCATAGATCAACAGGCTTTTTGTCACAGCCACAGGCCAATGTAAAAACCTTCCAGCAGTGGCACTGTCACCGCTGCCACCTCCTCTGGTTATTTCAAGTAACATCTGGGCACACAGTTTTAGACTGTCAGAGGTGTTTTGTGAGGGTCTGAGCCTCTGCTATAATGACCCCAAAAATTGATGTCTCCACGTGTTAAAAATAACAGGAACATTAATATTTAATAACAAGACGAGGCAATGAGAGGCTCATTAGTAGCCTTTCTATGCCACAGCACAAAAATGAGGGGCTTGAAAATGTCCTAAATGACAAAGAGCACCGATTTCTTTTCTATGTAAAAAAAAAAAAAAAAGTAAATTAATTTGTTATTCCTATTTTAGATGGATTTGTTTGGGGGATCTTTTGATGTATAACTGGTTCGTTTATAAACCACAGCGAGCCGGTTGTTTGTGTTGTGTTGCACCAACTGTGAATGAATGGCTAATTAGGCCACTTGTGGTGTTTAAAAGGGAAACGTGCCTGACTGAACCACACGCATATGCATGTGCATCTGAAGACACACTGACACACAACAAACAAATGCAGCGGCCGTCAGTCAAGAACAAGCCCCTTGTTTCCATCGCAGTCACCACGGCAACATGGGAGCTTCTCTGCGCTCCAGCAGTGGGGGCTAACCACACAGCGGAGGTGTATATGTGAGTTTGAGTAGGGAGATCTCTGTATCTTTCACTGTATTCTTCTTCAGGGCTCTCCACTGCCCACTCTGAAATTTAAACACTGTATTTAATTTTTTCTATAACGGAGAGAGGGACGAGTGCTTTTTCAGCACTTGACAGTCTTCTAAATCCATCTCTATTTAGTCTCAATAATGACTCATTTGCATATTTGTTTTGCATATGCAAAGAAAAAACAACTCTGGGATGTCCCCTGCCACGAGTATTTATCAGTGATCTGGTCCTTTGAGAAAGATGGCACCGGTTTACCAACTACAAAATACAATTAAAAGGTTAAAATGAGCAATTAGCAGATTAACAGCATCACAGAGTAATGTTGCAATTCATTTGTTTCTGTGTTTACTGTTTCAGTTTCTCCGTATCTCTTCATAGATTACTAAGTAGGCATCTTAAAAAAAGAAAATCACTAAAATCATTAAAATACTAGTACGATGAGCTCCACATACTATTCCAATTCCAAGGCTGTTATAGCATCTACCAAGCTGCAACGAAGATAATGAAGTCTGCTCTTAACTCAAGTGTCTCCCCACAACTTTTCAGTGGTAAAAACACTCAAAGAAATCTAATCTATCTACATCATTTCTGTTCTCTTCACTTTACATCCTACTTTCTTTTCTCCACTTTTAGAGAAAGGGCGTTTCAATCAACCAACAACAGCTACTTAAAAAAGTTTCCATCTGCTTAACGTTCATCACAGAGCACTGAGACAGCTGTTAATGACCTAAAATCTTCGTGAATGCAAACATGGTTACTGTCCTTCTTGTCTCAGACCTCAGTGTAGATTTTGATACAAGTGATCACAATGTTTAATTCGTGCACTGGACAGGTTGGGTCACTGTGCCATTGTTTCGTCTTGGCTAAATTAAAATGTTAATCACTTGGCAGGCTGTTTATTTTTATTATTTATTTATTTATTTATTTACTTGTCAGCCTGGATTCTCTGGTATTAAAGACATGGTATTAAATATGGTGATTCTCAAGGAACCATTCTAGGCCTAAATTAAATTTTTTCTATAAATGATTCATTAATGTCTCAGTCACACTAAAGTAGAAAATGGGGACTAATTTCCTTGCTACTGCTGAATCTGCCCAGTGCTTGAGCATGCAACACACCCCAACTCTAGGTGAACACTTTCATATGCACTGGTTGACTGAAGGGAGACAACCTGTCTCCCAACAATAACAATCTGACTCAGACTGACTACAAAGTATCTAATGTATCTGATTTATAAACACAGACAGATCAACAACAGCCTGAGTCAGTCTG